AGTTTCTCATATCGGTTAAGTCATTCCTCAGATGTATGGGATTGGATGAGTTGTGCCAAAACGTACAGTAATAATTCTTTACACGCTAATTTTCCACCTATGCTAGAGTCTAGAGAATGACAATACAATTTTCATACTGTACACTATAAAACACGAGCACTCAAAAGCACAAATCAAATTCAAATGAAAGCCATGCATCTCAATTTATATTCTTATTTTCCTCACCAATGTCGACAACAATGTCAGCGCCATAATCAAGTACCTCCTTAAAGCATTTCCACAGATGGCCTTACTTAGAAACCAGCCCATCCAGTAGGTTGAGAAGCTGGCATGCTCTCCATAACCTTTGCCTCGCGAAAGCGCTGACAATTATTTCCTTCACCCATAGGTCATGAAGTCTGTGTGCTTCCAGTGGGCACAGCAGTAAAACTCTCTGCTCCAAAACCCCATGAGTCATATGAATATATTGTTAAGTGGCTTATCTGTGTGCTCACAACTCTCACAACTCCCACCAGAATATATATTCCACATAATATATATTGAATGAAATAATACATAAAATGTGTAAGTCTATAACAAAAAATTTCTATTGTTTTTTTTTTACACTAGTATAATAGTTTATATCTTTTTTTTTTTCCCATTCAAAATTATTATTTTTATTGGTGTTTTTGTAAAGAGATGGATGGAGGAAGAAAAAGATAGGGAGAGCGCATCAACCAAGGGAGCCAGGGTTGGGGTGGGCGGTGGTTCTTCTGTCTTTTGAATGTTCTTATTTTCTAAATTTTATTTTAAAGATAAAAATAAATTTAAAGTCCAGCTGTAAAAAAAGATGTAATTATTTTTTTAAAATGATATGCGTTATATTTTCAATGAAAGTATCACCATTTGATGTGATACATTACCATTGTATAATTTCTTGTTTTTGTAATAGGGAAACTTGTTCCCCAACGAAAGTGGAGATGGGGAATCCCCAATTTAAATATTACATATCAATATGGGGATTGGGGAGAGGAAAAAAAAAAAAAAAAAAAAAACCTTAATTATGGTTTTGGTGATTGGAATGTCACACATACCTATCTCCGATTCACGGCATTGCCATCCCTAGTCGACAGTGCTCAGTTGGTTGATGACCATTAAAATAACTATAAGAAAAGCTACATTTTAACTGAAAGTTGGAATTGCAACTTCATGACTATAAAAGTAACATAGCTTGAAGGGCATCTTCCTTGTCCATAAACCCAGATAATCCTTAGTTAGGAGTATGAAGTCTGAGTATGTAACTACCCATTGCTTTGGCTAGGAATCATTACAGTGGCCACATCATTTCTCATAAGTGACACAGCATTAGCATGAATTATAAAGACCTATACTTTCTTTAGTGAAAAGAAAACAGCTATGGCATTTCAAAGATCTATAGCATGGGTAGGCTTCAGCATATTGAACTAAAAGGAGAAGGACATGGAGGCACAGATACATCAACCACTCCTTCAAGCATCTGTGTAACCTTCTTCATGGTGGGTCTTAAAGATGGATCCTCTTGTATGCACCAAATTGACACCTTGACTAGCCTCTCCAACCTTTTCATGTCATTTCTTGCCTCCTCATCATCCTCTACCAGCTTGTTTAATGTTTTTGCCTTATAGCAGTCATAAACCCAATCAGTTAGTATCACTTCTTCATTTTCCCTATCCATTTCAAGGCTCCTCCGGCAACAGATAATCTCCAATAACATCACCCCATAACTATAAACATCAACCTTTGCATTAATTGGAACATTCCTGAACCATTCTGGTGCAACGTATCCTCGAGTCCCTCTAATGACGGTATGCGTCAAAGTTTGATCACTTAGCAGAAGCTTTGCCAATCCGAAGTCCGAAATCCTTGCTGTGAATGAATCATCTAGAAGTATGTTGTGGGGCTTGATATCACAGTGGATGATCTGTGTGCTACACTCCTCATGCAGGTACATGATCCCTCTTGCAATACCGAATGCAATTTGGATTCGTTTGTTCCAGTCGGGCCTTGAAATCCCAAAGAGAAAGCTAGCCAGTGTTCCATTGCTCATAAACTCATAGACCAAAAGTTTGTTTGCCCCTTCATCACAGAACCCTAGCAATCTGACCAAGTTCTTGTGATGGGTCCTGGCTATTGCACTTACCTCTGCTTTGAACTCTTTCTCGCCTTCTTGTGCCACCTTGTCCAACTTCTTGATTGCGACATAGTTTGTTGAACTGAGGGATGATATGATTCCTTTATACACAGTGCCAAAAGCACCTCTACCAAGTTCTTCCCTAAACCCGTCTGTGGCTTCTTCGAGGTCCTTATACCTAAAAGAAAGTAGATTTGCTTCCATAATACTTGATGTGCTAGTAGTAACATTATGCCTTTTCTGGTATGTGTATAAGAAAACCAAAGAAATTGTTGCAACAAAAAAGAAGTTAAGAAACACAGAGCTACCTAGAAGAAGTGCTCCTACTAAGATGAGAGTTTTCCGATCTTTTCTTCCTGTGTTTGATTGTGAAGAAAGTGGATCATCTAAAGAAGCATCAGATTTTGGTAATTTGATCAGAGCCGTCCCTAACAAATTCCAGTCCTGCACTCCATGTGAGAGTGGCAGTTTCTTCTTCCAGCAGCTCCCCTCTCTGACAACAGCCACCACACAATAACAATCATTGAGGCAAGATCTGCTGCAGTCATCTTTATTCATTGGCTGCAATTGCTCAAAGTTTGCAGAAGTTATCCAAAAAGTATTAGATAGCTCATGCATAACATACAAATCCTCTGGCTTTGATTTTCCTTGCTCGTCACAACTTTGTATTCTGTTTTGTTTACATCCACTCAACTTGTTATTTGGATCTAAAGAAGAAAAGCCAGGAAGGCATTCACAAATTGGCCTTCTGTTTGCGTCGATTCTGCAGTAGCTATTGTAGCCACATGGTGCACTGCCCAAATCACCCTTTGCTTCAAAGCAAATGTTTTCTGGGATAGACCAGATAGGCAACCAGGATGTCCAGCTCCCATTTTTGGGGGACTTTGGGTGAGCATATTGGGTGAAAAGACCATCCGAATCGAGTGTTGCTCTGTAATAGTAATCTCTTATTGGTAATAGTGTTTTGTTTATGAGCTTGTCTATATCTCCATTCCTCCTGACAACATTGAGGTAACCTGACTCATTAAAGCTTAGCTGATAACCAGAATTCATTTCATCAACAACATCAGAAGTATTGCTTTGGTAGTAGGGGTCGTAGGCAAACGCTGTAGGCAAGGCGATAGGATATAGCACAAGCCTTCCATCTGATTTAAGTTGGAGTTGAAAGCTCCCCTGTGAGAAGTTGTTTGCTGTTTGTCTAGAATTCAGCTTTTCGCCAATTTCCAGCACTTGGGTTGGCAAAACGGTGTCTTTGAGTTCTTTGAAGCTCTGCCATAAGTAGTCACCATTGTTGTTTGCAAGCACAAAATTACCGGTGTCGAGCATGGCAGCATAGGCAACCCTTCCACTAAGAACAGATTGAGGCTTCCATATTTCTTGGCTTCGATGGCCAGTGAGTGTGAGTTGGCCATCAGCGGTAAGCTCAAGTTTGGATCCTTTTGGTGCTGGATTGTCTCCATTTGCATACCAAACTATGGTTTTATCTGGTATTTTATCATACCATATGGCAAGCAAGAAGAGATCTTGGTCAACAATGCGGCGAAATCCGAAGGCAAATGTCCCAAAAGGCGATTGCCATGCAAATGAGCCCTGGGATGCAGTAAGAGACGACCCCAAGCTAATATTTGCAGTTTGAGCTGCTATAGAAAGTCGTTCAACTACAAGGAAAAGGCCAAGCAAGTGAAGAAGAAGAGATAAAGCCATTGACAAACAATTTGATGAGCAGTGAAAGTTCAAGGAACCAAAGGGCAGACTATATAGCAACTTCAACAAAGAAAATTCTTGGCCAAACAGAACAGTTACCAACTAATTTATGCGACGAAAAACGTGTGTCAGAATTTTCTTTGGATGAGTAGTAATTGGAAAGGGGAAGCTATGGTCCTGTTTGGAATTGCTTATTTTTGTCAAAAATCTACTTCACCTTAAAGGTAAGCAGTTTAAGTTATTTGGTAAAAGTAAAATATTCCGATTATTTTAAAATAGTGACTTTTTGACGGCAACTTTTAAAAGCATATCCTGGGTTGCTTTTCAAAACTGTTTAAAAAAATAAAATAAGCAAAAGTAAGTTTTTAATGAATTTTTTTAATTCCCAAAATACTATCATTAATTTTAAAAATGACACCACCTCCACCTCCACATCCAACACCACCACCTCCTCCTTGACCTCCACCACCACCACCACCGCCGCCACCACCTCCACCCCCT